CTCACTAGGCGAAGTCGTGGAACTCGAAAGAACGCCATCATTAAAAATTGATGGTTATCTGCCCTCCTCATTCATTGAAAATCACTGCCGGACAGTACCAGGTCTCATAGAACTTTTTTGCACCTAGGCGCTGCCACTCTCGGTGGAGAACGAACCAGACATCCTCCCGTACTTTTGCAAGTGCTTCGTGAAGCCCGGATCGTCTCCCACCAAAGGCGGCACAGCCCCACGCCACCCACACTTGGTAGGAGCACTCGACGAGCAGAAGCACGTACTGCCTAACCGCTCGTGCCGACAAGGGATGCACAAACCGAACGGTGTCGAAAGGAACACCGGGGTGACCAAACAAACTAGCTTTCCTTCGATGGAGGGCAGCTGGTAGTGCGCACTGAGAGAACATGTGAACCAGGTCCTCGCTACTGCCGCAGAATGGGCGCATGCCGCGTGTAGGTATTCTCGTGAGGGGCCTGAATGTTATGGACAGGCGCCCTCTGGCCAGGTAGTACACGAATGTAGCGCCCTTGGCGTCCAGGAAACTGGGAGTAATGAACCGCCAGTTAGGACTATGGTGGGACAGGTCCAGTTCTTTACAGCGTGCAGGTAACTCTGGAGTAAGTCTATCGACTAGCTCATGGAGTTTGATCGAAGCTAGATTCATCTTGGGGTCGACCTCTTGGAGACGGGCCAAAGTAGAAGCGGCCCCTGCATAGAAAGCAGAGGGCGTTCCCGCCCGAGGCACAGAATTTGAAAGTGCTCCAGGCGAGAACAGCCTCAGCCGCGTCCTCAGGAAATACGACGCACAGCTTGTCTGTTTCTCCGCAGTAACAATACCCCTAACGGCACCAAACGGTACTATAAACGGGCAACCCCATCCCCAGCGCCCACCAATATTTCTCAAGTTTCAGCGTTCATACTTGTGCAATTGTCAATTAAAACGCTATTTTTGCGCATATCTGAGGCACCATAACAACACGTCGATATTTTGTATGTGCGTCTTTATACTGGAGAAGGCACACATAAGTAATTATAAGGATCATAGCGTTTATTACGCTGCGCTGACAAGACAACGCGATGCTCAAAAAGGCAAGTGTTTCCTTTGCTAGGGCGACACGGTGGTGGCATCTGCCCGTCGCTTTACCTTATCGCCTCCTTATCGCCTCCGAGACAGGCACGCGTTTTTCTCCGTGGTTGCGCACGCCTTCCTCGTTTTCGAAGATAACTGCCAGATAGCGCTCGTGTCTAACATGCCTCAATGCGCTCGTACGCATTCGCTGCACGGATCGAAACTCTCTAACGCAGCGCTTCCAGAATACAATTCACCAATTTTCTCGCGCAGAACATCTAATAAACGTTTTGTTCACTCTCTCCACACGCAAGACTATCGTATTTCGACGACATTTGCAGGGAAACATGCAGATACGGGGCCAATACTTTTTTAATAGTCTTTCTCTCCTCTCTCTTCCTCTGCCTGTGAGATGTGAAGCATTGCAAGTTTTCCGCACCTTAGATTGTTTGCGTTATCATTAATATCAGGCTGACTTACCATGCGACGCGACAATCTCATGTTATGACCGCATTCTGTCACTTCAGTCACCTTTGGCTATCTGTGAGTCTTGGTCACCGGTGGAGGGTCTCACGACGTTAGAATCAGGTCGTACAAGACTGGCTAAGCCGTGGGCGCACATTTACGTGATTTTCAGGCACCCCAAAAGTGACATCTTACATTTCCTTGGTGTGCACAATCAACACTCTTTACATAAGGGAAACCAAAAACACGTATAAAATGTTCAACTTTGGTATTTAAGTTTTCCCCGATCAACATCTCGGTATGATTCTCACCACAATGGACATTATTATGACAAGTTAACAAAGTTCGCCGGCCTTGCGAAGTTTGCGTCCTGCTCAGAAATTACTGTCACAGTCCCTGGACGACAATTCACTCATGGTTGTTTAAGTGAATCACGTGCGACTTACAGCAAACTGGCTGCTGCTGCGAGCATGTCACGAGTTGTAGTCTTTCCATGACGTCCGACATCTCTTGTTACGTCACTGCAAGGCCAGCTTCTCGATACTAAACCGAAACTGTAGTTTTAATGTAGCGGCATATAAAACACCTTCAATGCATTCGCAAGCACTACGACATGCTTTTTAGAGTTCTCCACACATGCGTTCCTATTCAGGACAACCACCTCAATAGTATTTTAAATTCGTGCGAGTACTCAATTAGGTGTCACGTGACTTCCGACGAACTTGTGTCCCTTAGTTTTTTTGTTGTTTTTTTTCATCAGTCGTGTTAACATCGCCGCCTTGGGGTGCCTCATCAAGTCTCACCAAATGTCAACGTTTTAGGATCATAAGAAATGCGAAGCTTCCTCATCAATGAATCAGATTGTGGTCACCTCTGCAGTTGCCCTCACCTTAGCGCTACAAAAGACAGTAGGACTGGAGACAGCGCCTACACTGCAGTATACGAGCCTCTCACCGGTGATGTTCCGCGCAGGGAATTTTTCCTTTTTCGGGGAATTTTCGCCTGTCATTCTGAACAGAAAAAGGGAATATTCGTGATATTGCAGGGAATTTCAGCAATGGTTAAATTCTCCTATTACGACCGATAATTACCAGTCGCAGTGCGTCTTCATCTGTTGTAATCGGTCTAGACGTATGCATCACGCAAGCATGGCCTTTGATATTTTTTTATGGTATTTACGTGTAGCGATTTCTAGTTCACCAGTGGTGTTGAAGCCTGCCATGTGCAGTTTACTAACAGTATATGAAATAATAAAGTCATGCTTTTGTTGAGCGGCAGTGGAGGGGCATGTCATTATATCAAAAGACACGTGTGATTATAGCATGTGTGTGCGTGAATGGGGGTGGCAATTGCGTAATAGGTGTTTTCAAATTTCACAAAATTTATGATTTATTGCGTATTTGTCTTTGTACTTGTATTTGCAGCCCCGAGAGAGTTTACAATGGGACTTTGAAGTGTCGCTCTTCAAATGTTAGCTGTAGAGTGCGGTTCCGCGCAAGCCTGGCTTTTTTTCGGAATGAATAGGCGAAGGGGGCTACTTTTACTAATACAAGCATTATTACGCACCATTTACCATAAATGTTTCTAAACCTGCAAAGTATAAATGCGGTAAGGTATACATCACAGGCACGCCTGGGAGATACACTTATTTACTTCCCACACACGTAAGCACACCACATTCAATAGCGCAGGTAACAAACGCCAGAAGGGCACTATCGAAAATAAGTAAACAACATGCGAAAGCGTAAAAGCTTTTGTTTAATTATTTATGTTTTTGCTGCAATCACTTTTTTTTTTCAGATCCCTCGGTCACTGCTCCATTGAATTTGCTAAAACTGATTTCTATTGTTATTCAGGAAAGTACGTAGCGATGCGAGGGCGTCTGTTCTGTTCAACTGCATAGATGTGTGCCTGCTACAAAAGATTTAAAAAATATATGCACAGCCCAAAAGTGCCTTCTTGGAGCGAATTGACTGTTGTCTGAACAAAAAGCGTTACGCAAAGTGCACGGAATCATTCTGCGTCTTCGGCAGCATTTTCTCTTTTTCCATTATAAACTTGAAGAATTCAGTGAACCACAATTAAGCGATTCAGATCCAGGCAATTTCATCACTGAGAAGACCTGCAATGTATATAAATAAATAAGGATTTGGCTGTTCACACGTGCCATGGGAATCGATGTTATGCGAGGCATATGCGATGTTATGCGGAGAAGTTCTTTTAACGCTCTCGCATTTAAACTACGAATGTCTGTTGTTGCCGGTACTGGGCAGATATAAGCGGCTAATCTCCTGTGGCGCATACCCACACACCGCGGCCAGTGGTATGCGGGTCTGGGCCTCACATGTATGGAGGAAAAGGATTTGACGACGTACGCGACGGGGTTTTCAGGTTATTAACGCAATAGCCTAGAAGAACTCGTTTTGCAGAAATTCAGGCGTCGGCTTCGGAGCCGGCGTCATTGGTTGTGAGCGAAAAATCGCCATCTTGTCAAAAAATTTAGAAAGAGGCACATGAAGATATATTGAAACTTCCCGGGTCCCGGTGAGGATTGAACCCAGCCCATCGGCGTGACGCGTCTGCCCGTAAATACAGTGAAAACAACTTACTTTACCTGTAAATGCTGTGCTTTACAAGCACAGGCGTCCGGTGTATAGGCTTCACGAAACAACTTGTAATATCGCAGTAACTAGTATTGCGCGGTACAAGCGTTTATTTCCATCGAATGTCGGAACATGTGATCATCATAACTGTCTCGTTGTGGAAAAGACGGCCACCATTAAAAAGGCACACGCGCTACTACGCGTGTTACCTTGAGACCTCGTAGTGAGTACACAGCAAATTCGAAAACATTTCACGGGCATAATTACTCGTGGTTTAAAGCATGCTACCCATTGCCCATAACGTTGCCATATGCGAAAGCTTCACAGACAAAAGCCACTTTAACTTTATCCATCACAATGTTGCGCTCCACAATTTGGACTTCTCGAGTAACATCAGACAATAGAAAGCATGCACCAAATTGTTGAAGTACGCACTAGGCACTGGATATCGATGTGACATTCAACTCTTAAAGGCGAAGCTTAAGAATCCCCCACTTGTTTCTAAAGGTAGACGCCACGGTACGACGAAGGCACGTTTGATGACCTGACATTGTTCTCGACATTTGAGAACCATGAAAGCCCATCAAGCTATACATGTAACATGTCATTAATTTCGCGCGTACCAAAGATAACCGAATAAAATTCCGTTTCTTAATGATAATATATGTCGGTAACATAAAACCAAATATTCCGATTTTTTGCTGTCAAGTATTTGACGACAACTTCTAATAAATGTTACTCCGAAAAAATTCCCATTGGCAAAAGAGTATTACAGTGTTCAAAGGAGTATGGTGAACTCGCGAAAGAAAGGCCTTCGAAATATCAATTGGCTATAAATGAGAACGAAAACGCCGTTTCACCTACGTCGACGAACAAGCTGCGTAAGAAATAAATGTGGCCTCGCGCTCCCATACCGCTTACTCTCAAGCCTGCACCCAAAGCCATGCATAATGCTATTAATATTCTCGTGTTTGCATTGGTGGTGTCTGCGCTACAGTACCAAGGTGACACTTCAAAAACGCCGGCAGAGGAGAAGGTGTATGACTTCAGAAAAGTAATTTATCCTCTTGATTTGCTCTCATGCGTGTAAACAGAGAATCACTCGTATAAACTTTTCAGTACTCATATCCTCAGGCATCAGTCAATTAGGGACACACTTAACATGGATGTCATTTTAACAGCACCAATAATGGGGATAACTTATTCGCTGGTATCAGTACTAGTAAACATTTTTTGCACACAAAAAGTTGTTTTTGGCTTTTTCTGGTAGTAAAACATGTGCATCGCCAAACCATACTCACGTTCACATTACAATGCACTCCCCTCAGTTTGTGCATGTTGGCTACGTGACTTGACTTACGTACGATCGTATACAGCGCGTTAGAACGATGAGCACAGAGGCTCTGCAACTGCATTATGAACTTAGCCAATGGCGGTTCAGCAAGTTTTTTTTGGGGGGGGGGGGGGCGGAAGTCGAAAGATTTTTTTTGACCGCTGTGACTGTTTTTTAGCCCACCCCCCTGCATCTCTTTGTTACTTTTGTGATGATTTTACAGGTGAACTTTTTCAGATTAATATTGGGTAAACAAAAAAGCTCGTAAGAAAATAAACTGAGGGTGAAACATCATTTTAGCGCCCTAAAGAACGAAGCGCAATTTCAGTGGCCCAAAACTAAGTGGATAGATACACAGCTTGGGATACACGCGTGGAGGGATCTCCTATATAGAAGAACCCCTGACAACCAGCAAAGAGTATTAGCCCAGAAAAGTTGGAGTGGCGCCGCCTGATGGGAGGCCTGGGAGACGTCAGGGCAAGGACCCTTCGACAACCGCCATTGCGCGCCTATGGTATGCGCTCGCCTAGTACGTGGTTTCGTTGTTTGCATTCGCTTATTGCTTGTCTCAAGCTACAGATGAATGACGAAAACAGCATCAATAATGTTTATAGTAAAACAATAAAAAAGTTTGATTTTTCTTCTGCCAAAGGTGCCCATGCTTGGGGGTACATGTAGGGGACATGACGGTGACGAAGAAAAATCAGCCGGGAATGTCGGTATAATTGCTATCGCAATAAAACAAATTATGGTAGTCACTTGTTTGTCATTTTCAGTCAAACATAGGCGGTAGTGGTAAAACTTCATTGCCTAAAAAAGTGTTTTCGGTACACTAGGCTTGGCACCACGTGTAGAGGACGCCTCCGACGTCAGGACAGAGAAACCAAAGCTCTCCGCCAACTCTTGGGCCTCCTAGGCCACCAAAAGTTGGTCTTCTGGTCAAACACTTTGTCCCAATCTGTACAGCCTTAGCATCAACACGTTTTGGTTGAGCTACTCGACGGCACTGAATTGCCCGGCGTAATGCAACCTCTTGTACTCTCACAAAGCACCTAAGAATGACTTGTTTCTCAATTTCTGGCTTAATAATACGCGCATCTCTCACAGATTGTAAATTATTACTTCTAGTTTGTGACGGAAAACAAGAAGATATGGACCTATGAAAGCTCTGATTATGGCAGATGGCGTTGCAAGTTGGACAATCGGTGGAATATAACAAACCACACTGCCTTCATAAACAGATCATACTACATGGATGGAAAAGTGTAAGTCAGTCTGTGGCATTGCAGCTAAGTTTAACGGAAACTCTCATAAGTTCTTTTTATTCTAGGTCATATTTCGGAGTGGAAGGATATTTCGGGAGTTCCATGGAAGCTGAGCGAAGGAAGTTGGTGTACAACAGGATGTCCTTGTATGATCTTTGTGAGTTGGCATTCTAAACACGGGACTTCTACAAAATATTTCCACATCTCAACCATCAGTATATTTCGCCTTCGTTCAATAAGTAATGTCTATAGATCAACGCAAGGCGGCTCAAGAGTGGAGCGGCGACACATCATAACTCCATGAAAAGCATCTTATGTGTGCTAAACAACATTCAAGTTCTGGTACTGGTTGTCATAAAGGATAACATGCCTTTTCACCACGCTATAGAAAGAGTTAGCTCATTTATATATAAATATATAAAATCTGCATAGGCTGGTGAGTCGGTTTCGATTCAGGCTCAGTAGTGTCGCGGTACAGCGCGAACCAAAGGCAGATAAACGTTGACACAGCGACTCTCAGCAGCCGAACAGCAAGATCGCCTTCTTTATCTTCGATCAGCCAGAGCTCCACTACCTGGCGTCCGCGAAATCCCCTTATCATCGTTTTGGTCCACCAGTACACACGCGTCATTTGCCCCCCTCTTAATGAGCATCGCCCCGATGCTAAACCAGTAGTGCAGTTTTTTTTGTCTGTTCTTTATAAAGTGTCTTGCGCAGTCACTACCTTTCATAAGGCTTCATGCGCACAACGTGAACTAGTTCAGGACGGTGCTGGCGAAGCCTCGTACTATATGAACTTTCGGGGACGACCTCGTAAGTAACATCACTCAGTCGTCGCAGTACTAGATATGGCCCAAAGTATCTCCTTGGGAGCTTTTCAGAGAGTCCTCGTTTCCGTATGGGCGTCCAAACCCATACTCTGTCGCCGGTCTGGTAAACGACTGTTTTGCGGCAAGAATTGTAGCGGCTCGCGTCGTACTCTTGTTGTTGCTCGATTCGCAGGCGTGCTAGTTGCCTTGCTTCTTCCGCTCGTTCTGTAAACATCTCGGCGTCCGGTTCGATGTCGTCGTATTCGTGCGCTAGCATCGCATCTAACATGGTTCGTACTTCCCTTCCGTGAATTAGGCTGAACGGGGTCATCCGGGTTGTTTCTTGCTTGGCAGTGTTGTATGCAAACGTGATATATGGCAAGATTTCGTCCCGATTTTTGTGCTCGACGTCTACGTACATTGAAAGCATGTCTTCAATCGTTTTGTTCAGACGCTCTGTAAGCCCGTTCGTTTGCGGGTGGTAGGCGGTGGTCTTACGATGGGTTGTTCCACTCAGCATAAGGATTTGTTCTAAAAGAGCTGCCGTAAATACGGTTTCCTCTGTCTGTGATTACGACGCTTGGTGCACCATGCCGCAGGACAACGTTCTCGATGAAAAATTGTGCCACCTCCGCTGCTGTACCTCTCTGGATAGCCTTTGTTTCCGCATAACGGGTACGGTAATCAGTCGCGACAATAACCCAGTGGTTCCCAGCAGTAGAAGTAGGAAGTGGGCCCAAAATATACATGCCAATCTGGTCGAATGGTGTTATTAGGACTTGCACGGGGTGCAGGAGGCCGGCTGGTTTAGTCGGCGGTGACTTCCGTCGCTGGCAGTTGTCACACCTGTCCCGTTTATTAGGGAGGCGATCGCCGGGCTAATTCCAAGAGCCGAAGTATCGGCCCCCCGAACCGCACCACGAAAGCGTGGACAATTTAGAAGTGGTCCTTATTGGTGCGCCAGCGGACGCCGGCTGTGGCCCAAAGAACAAGACAGAGCCGAGAGTTGATAAACAAACAAAATTATATTCTCATTAACGGCAGATCAAAAACAATACACACGTATGCACACTCCACAATAGTTACATACAATACGTCACCAAACAGACAATGTACTACACAGTACAATCAACCACACTTGAAACAACGGACACAGACAACAATACGCACTACAATGCAGTCGCATGCATTGAACAACCAAGACACTTAAAGACTAAAGAGATATAAAACCTATTCAGTCCAAAGTCCTTGGAACAAAAGTCTGAATGATACTCTTCCGAGAATCACTCACTCAAAGTCCAGCGTTGTTGTCGTTCCGCAGCTCTCGAAGTTCTCTTCCAGGACACCTCGCCGGAGTTTCTCTTCCAGGAAAACTCCCGTCTTCAATTGGCCACTCTTCAAACTTCAACTTCTTCGCCGGAAAACCGTCGGCATCCCACACGCAGCTGTTGCCCGCGTCTTCGCTCGATAGCGGTAAACCCGCGCTCTTGCCTGTAGCTCGAGCCGTCCCTACGGACCCAAAAACTTCGCCGACTACACGGCGGACTCTCTACGCACTCTGGCGCTCACTTCCGTCTCCTCCTATTCTGTCACTACGGGCAGAACCTTCGCCGACTCCACGGCGGACTCTCTACGCACTCTGGCGCTCACTTCCGTCTCCTCCTATTCTGTCACTACGGGCAGAACCTTCGCCGACTCCACGGCGGAATTCCTACGCGCTCTGGCGTTAACTTCCGTCACCTCCTGTTCTGTCACTACGGGCAGAACCTTCGCCGACTCCACGGCGGAATTCCTACGCGCTCCGGCGCTAACTTTCCGTCTCCTCCTGATTTCTCGTCTCGGCTGCTCGGTTAAATACCTTGCGCGCGACTTTCCAGATCTTTCTCGTCATTTCGTCGGCGCGATACGCAGCGAAGGCTGGGGAGAGGCGAGACGGTTTGTCTGCCCTCCGCGTCGGATGACTCAGCTCGGTCTGACCCCGCCCCGTTCGTTCGAGAGAAATCGCGGTCTTGCTGGGCCGCAGATGTGGGGTGAGGAGGATCGTCTGCGAAGCCGTGCTTCTGCGGGGAGAGCGCGCGCCCGGGAGCCCTGGATGTTTGCTTTCTTTTTTTTTTTCCTTTTTACCTCGCGGCGTTTCTGCCGCCCGTTGTCGCAAGTATTTGGCGGCGCGCTCTTGTTTAGCGCTCGTTCTGTGACACTGCCCCCCACTTTAAGAATATTATCTCATAATATTCAAAACCACACAAACGAGCGCGAACAGTCACCACACATTCTCACAGACTGTAACACAATCCGTCGCTCATGACACTTCACATTCACAATATATCACTCAATACAATCGTACATTGTAGTTCAATTCCACAACACATGAAATATAACCACAGGTACATGCCTACAACACTTCATCACACATTCTAAACAATACAAACGTACAAAGTTCTGTCTATCCAACAATTATACAACACTATACATCACACCATCGCACAGAACACTGACTCACTCGACATACACTTGAGACACAGGATAACAAGAACATTAACACAACATATGGCACTCAACACTGCCAAACACATTCTGATTCGACCTCAGCACTTATCCTGAATACTTCGAACAGCGCTTGCGCCCCTTTTTGCGGTGCTCGCTCGATCTCTTCTTGTGCTTCCACGTTCTTTTTCGGCGAGCCCTTTCCAACGACGATATCTGGGGCGTCGTCTCAGCCATCGTTGTCTCTTCCGACACCGTTAACGCGTCATTACATTCGACGGGTCCTGTCTGTTTATTTACCCGCTTGATAATGCCTCTACATTTTGCCCGGCTGGCCAACCCCGTCTCCTTTACACTGTCGGTCGGTTGAGGTCGTGCCGACGTAAGTCCGGTTGCTCGGCCCGTGAACTTATTCGACACGATCGTCTTCTCCTTCGCTGTCTCTTGCGCCGCAGCTTCACCTTGGGCTCTAGTAAGATCCGTCACGGGATGTTCCTCCACTGTATCTCGCGGCCGCTGTGTTGGCGAGGGCTCTAACTTCGGGTCTTCTCCCAAACATTCTGGATCACTTGGCCCTCGCGCCCCGTCGATGTTTCCGATGACAAGGTCATACAGGGGGGTCGTCATGCATAAAGCAGTAACCTTCCCGCTGAAGTACGGGGTTTCAACCTCAATTTCGGCTTCGGGAAGCATCCGAACCGTACGGTCAATTAGGCAAACCGGTTTCGTTCTGCCTGTCAACTCACTTTCCCGTACCAAATTTCTCCGCACGATAACCGTGGAGCTACCGGTGTCTCTTAGAACCGTAATCTTCTTGCCTGCAATCTTTCCAGGAAGCGCTGGCATTCCCTTCGTAACACCGGTTGGCTGTTTTGACATTACAGCACCCACAATAGGAATTTTCTCCCCATTTTTCAATTCTACGAATCCATCGGTGACGGCATTATTATCAGCTTTCGGTGCCGCTTGCACACAAGATACCTGGTGAGTTTGACTCACTCCGTTACGACATGCGTCTGCCTTGTGCCCAGTCTGACCACATTTGAAACATTTTACAACCGTGGGGCTCGTGAAGTTAGTTCGGCAGTGGCTAGCACGGTGACCCACTCGGTTACACAGAAAACATCGCGGAACTTTCTCCGGTGCAAGCTTCTTTTCCTCGGGAGCCGATTTCTTCGAATCCTCGGGACAATAATTCTTGACCTTGGCCAAATTGGTTCCACCTTGCGCTTCCAAGAATTGATCAGCTAATTCAAGCATGTCCTCAAGTGAGTCAGCCTTCCTCTCTTTCAAGTACAGCGACAGGCTTGGGTGGCAACTAGTAAGAAATTGTTCTCTAATTAGGAGCTCTCTAAGCTCATCGTACTCCTGCGCTGTCCCTGAAAGTTCAATCCATCTGTCGAAATAATGGCAAAGTCGGGCGGCATACTGCGTAGCTGTCTCACCGTCAGCTGGCTTTCCTGTCCGAAATCTGTCCCGGAATCCTTCCACGGTAAATCTAAATCGCTTCAGCAAAGCAGCTTTCACCTTTGCATAGTTGGCCGCATCGGTCGGCGTCAGCCTACCGTACACACTGAGCGCTTCTCCACTCAAGCAGGTACTCAAAGCAGTTGCCCATTGCTGTTCCGGCCAATTCTGGCTCCTCGCAATTGTCTCAAATCTGTGGAGGTACGCGTCAAGGTCGTCCTTCCTTTCATCAAACGCTACGAGCAGCTTGCTTGGGTTCAAGCGGAAGCCGTGATCTTCCCGTTCGCTGCTTTCAACTCTAGCTTGGACGGGAGTTTCGTTTCGCTGTTGCAAACGGAGCCGCTCGAGTTCAATTTCGTGCTGCCGCTGCCGTTCCCTTTCAGCCATCTCCGCTTCT